TTTAATAAGGATCAGGAGAAACAAATAGGCCAAATAGATGTTTATTCAGGGAGAAATAACTTACAACATAGACAGATGAACACCAGCAGGTTCCTGGACCCAAGGATGCCTCAGGATATTCTCCTGTCCCTTGCTGCAAGCAAGAGAGCTCCCGGAGCCCCTTTCTCAGACTTAGTTCCCCTAGGTAACATCTGTGAGTCCCCACCCCACAATGGGCGTGGTCTGTGCCACAGGTGTGGACAAAGTGAATATCTCACTACAAACCTGCCATTCTTGCCTATCTTCCAAACTATCTTCACAGTCCTTGTCCCACCTTCCCATGTCCCATGGGAAGCTCTGTGGGGCATGTTGATGAGTGAAGGAGATGTAAATGTTTGGGTATTTCCAAGTGGGCAAGAGCTCTGGGTTCAGCATGAAGCAGGCAAAACCACAGGACTCAGAGTGGCTGAGCCCCCAGAACTCGCCTTGCACTGTTTTTATGACCCATGAACTAGGGAGGAAGCATCTGTCCCTTTTCCACATTTTAGGCTTTAGATGACAGAGGGTTTGGAAGGGAAAAGCAATGTTTTGGAAAATGGGGATATAGCAGAAGACATGGAGTCACAAGCAGGGTAAGAGAACAAAGTGCAAGAAAGGGGTGTGTGGTATTAGTAATGCTAATTAGAGACATTAACGAGCAAATTTGGTCAACTCAAAATCTTAGTCAAGATCGACATTCCTGGGAAATATTAAGGATATGGCCTTGACATTGAGATTGGTGTGGGTCAGAATGCATGAGGAAAGGAGAAAGGGCTGGCTCAGTGGTGAAGAGCACTGAAGACCTGGGTTTGCTTCCAAGCACCCGTTGGCAGCTCACAACTGTCTGTAACTGCAGTTTCAGAGTACTCAGTACTACCTTCTGGCCTCTGTGGGCCTCAGGTACACACACAATACGCAAGCATACGTAAAGGCAAAATACTCAGTATAGAAAATAATAAAAAAGAATCTGTCACAGACCCTTATTCACTGACGTAAATCAATGAGTTTCTTAAATCTTCAGCTTTTTCAAGGATGAAAAAATGTTTACCCTAGAAAACTTGTGTTTAGTTGAGGATAGTGATAGCATACTATACTTGACAAAGAGCAGGAGGTAATTGGTGAACAATTTGAGAAGGAAAGGCACAGCTAGCTGCATTTGTCATGAAGCCCTTTATGATGTTCAGAGATGATGCAGAACTTAAAAGGTCCTCAAGCAGACACTTCTCTTTGGTATTATAAATGAAGAAAGAAGAATACAGGTAGATCCCAAGCAAATGCAGGCAGAATGCTAGTTAGGGAGCTGTGCTATTCACATCCAAAGCTCAGCTCTGCTGCTTGCTGGATATAGAACTGTGCAAACTACTTGACATCTCTGATCCTGTTTCTTCGTTTGCAAATGATAATTGATGGTCATATCTATCTTTCCTAGAGTGCAATTTACATGAATGAATGATAAAACAGGTGTAAAGTGATTTGAGCAGCATCTGGCTCTTAGTAAATCATGCTATTGCTACAATTATCACATATACATTTAAAATTAAATTTGTTCTTTGACACCCTCCCCCACTGTGTGTGTTTGTGTGTGTGTGTGTGTGTGTGTGTGTGTGTTTCAATTCCAGGTAGTATCTTGGATGTAAGAACTAGTCAATACACATCTTTTGAGCTATCCTTTGAAGGAAGATGAAAAAAAATCTATATGGGAGATCCTAAAACTGATGGCATTTGTTATAAATAATAGTTTTTCCAGGAAACTAGAGAAAATGAGGAGACTGCACGTGCATATATCAGAGGGAAGTCACAACTATTTGTGTCCAGAGAAATGAAACTTGTGTGTAGCACATGCCAGCTCACAGCACTCCAGAGCAGTGCCATGCCACCTCCAAGTTGACAGCTCCCTGGGGGCCCTTGTGGCCTGTTCCTGGGGGAAGAAGAGGCCCTATTGCTGAGGTTCCTACTTCAGCTGGTGCAGCACCACTTTCAGCAGCTGTCTGCATAGTGGTGATGTTGCTTTAACAAGGTTGTTAAAAAAAAAAAAAAAACCACTGTGCTACACACAACAGAGAAAATAGCAGCATGCCTTTTAGGAGTCTAGTTCAACTGACCCAGACTCATCATGTCCTGCCATTTGCTGAGAGCTCTGGGTACAGTGATGTGTGAAATGCCCACTGATGGGAAAACCAAGCCAACAACAGCCTTGTCTGCAAAGCGTTCTTCCATTGCTCTCCCTGCTTTGTGTTTCTTACCATCCTTTTGTGCACCACTTATACTGTGCATTTTCTTCTTATGCTTTTATGGTGGCTGAGGTTACTTTCTCAGGGATCCTATAAGACAGCAGAGAAATTAATGCACCGAGGGACCTCAAGCAGAAAAATCCATCTGGCCTGGTGACAGCCAGGAAGCATTAGAGACAATCTCATTTACTTGAGAACCATAACTTTGGCAATTTCATTTCGGCTTACTTCGATGCCCTTCTCAAAGCCGCAGTTCACAGACAGGAAGAAAAAGTAACTTCACTGAATTTGGCCAAAGAGAGGACTTCAAAGTGGCTATAAGGCTGTCTGGAGAACAATCTCATTGTTGTTGGTCCAAAGCTGACTTACTGACACTCTTTTCCAGTTTAGTGAAAACTTCAAGCCATGTCCCAGATTTCCCTCTACAACTGATGAAAGGAAGCTCTGCTTTGTGGGAAGGTACTCATGCCTTTGCTGCCTTCTCTTTTGGTTATCTTTAGGGTGCATTATCTCCACCACTTATTACTCTTTATCATGAATGCTGTCTTCCCACTCATCCTGATGTGGGATGTGCTCATCCTAATGCGCAGGCTGAGAAAGAATGTCTGAAGAGAAAAATGGTGGAATTTCAGTGATGCCAACTAGACAGGAAGGGGAGGCTCCACATTCACAAAGGGATAGTCAACTGATGAAAGGTTAGCTCAATGGCTTCACTCAGCAGCTGGGGCCATCAACCAGCAATTCTGTGATCTTGTCTTTAATCTCAAGGCAGAGTGACCCACAGGCTGCTCTGGGTTTTGCAATGTCATATGCTTTGAAGATTGTGATGGACAGGCCTTAGGGTTTTATCAGTAGCCATGGAGACTCTAACTTGGAAGACCTTTGACCTGGGTCTTGTTCTTTATATTTTTAGTCTTCTACCTGCCCCAAATTGACCTCTTCCAAATAGGCCCAAGTCTAGCCTTCCAAATAGGCATGGGTCTAGCCTTCTTAATGTAAGTAATTTAGTTTAGGACTCCAGTTAAAATGAAGTCAACTACATTGCAGAGAGAAAAATCTACATGTGCTTCAAAGTCTTCTATATCATCAATTTTTGGGGGTATTGCGGGTTTTAAGTAGCTCACAGTTTTGGAAGTTCAAGGGCTCATATGTGGTGATGGTCTTCTGCTAGCAGAGACTCAAAATGTACTGAGCCTCACATAGTTATTAGTGTGTTGGTTCATTTTGTGTTATTATATTGAAATAATTGAGCAGCCAACTTTTTAGGAGAAGAGGTTTATATTTATTCACAGTTCTGTAGGCTAAAAGTTCAAGTAGATACAGAATATGTCTCTGGCAGGGATCTCATGATGGATGGTGGAGCCTGTACCTAGGAAATACCATATGATGGAGAGACAGGAGACAGGAAGGAAAGGGACAACATTGCTCATTTTATAATAATACACTCTCTATTGTGACTCTAAGGCGGTCACAACAGAGCAACCTTCTGAGAGTATGCCTCCAATGAACTACAGATATCCATTAGACTTTACCTCATAGCTTCTTCCTACCAGTGAACTCTTAGAGACATGTGGATCACATTAAAACTTAGCACATAGAAAAGCACAGAGAACACACATATGTGATTCCTGTTTGGTCTCTCTTTCTCATAAAACCACTAGTATGCAAACATAAGGTCTCAATTGCAATGGCTTTACTTAATCCTGATGTACTCTCCAAAGCCACATCACACCTCTATACACCATTGTTGGATCAAGTTTTCATCCCCCAGTACCTTACAATGAGGATTACATTATAACACCCAAACCACATTAGCTTAAATGCCTTAGAAGAAAAAAAAAACTACTTTATAATAAATAATACTTTTAGTACCTCTAAGGCAATATCTAATTTGTGCATGGCGGGAACCAGGCATAATAGAGTTTTGCTTTATCTTTGATGTGAGGCTTATACCAAAGAGTCAATTAACTGTTGGTTACATAGCTGTATAGTTATTAGGTATTTAGGCTTATTTTAGTGGTTATGGTATGCCAAAGCTTTTCCATACTCTTTGTTCACCAGAAGTATAAAACTGTGTTGGGGAAACAAAATAATCTCAAACAGCAATTAGTGACAAGACAATGTGATAATTAAGTATATTTTATAGTGACAAAAACGTGCTAAAGAGTCAAGTGCAGGGAAGGGAATGTGGTAGAGGGAGGTGTTAATTGCATGAGATACAGTAGACAGCAAGAAATCCTTACTGAGACTCCTGTGATATTGCTGTGTGGGGAAACCTCTCAAAGACAGCTTTAGAACAGCTTTAAAAACCCTGCTTTAGGCTGTATTACATCCCACTGACTGTGGTTTATGATTCTTTATATTATAGTCTATGAGTTATCTTAGTATCCGAGGAAAGAGGAACAAAGCAAGAAAGCTAGTAATGTGTGCTGCATTGAGGAGATGAATTTAGTTAAATTGTTGTAGGACTAATATAGGGTTCAAAGAATTAGGTTTCAGAGCAATTAAAGACCTTCTTGACCCGTAGGAAATTATAAGGGGTTAAGGAGCCCTGTGTCAGGAATCATTATCAAAGACTAAATATTAATACAAAGGGTACTCTTAGCATACCTTATCACTTAGGAAACTGAGGGTTTTAGAAACCTTGTGTCAGAAACCAGGAGCATATTTTTTTCATCCTGTCATTTGGTCTGACACCAAGGTGTCATTGGCTTTCTTGAAACTATTGAAAAGGGAGCTCCGCTGGCTGCGACTCAGAGACTTTCCACACTACACTGGGAACCAATGACTTCTGCAATGCTGCCCCAATGGGAACTGGCTTTTTGCCTGCTTGCTTCCCTGGGCTTCCACTTCTACTCTTTCTATGAAGTTTACAAAGTCTCCAGGGAGCATGAAGATGAACTGGACCAAGAATTTGAGCTGGAGAGGGACACTCTATTTGGAGGATTGAAGAAGGACTCGACTGACTTTGAGTGGAACTTCTGGCTGGAATGGGGGAGGGGGAGCCTGGTGTGGCTCTTACTTGGCCATGCAGCTGTGTCTCAATTGGCCATACTGCTGGCGAAGAAGCACAGAGCCTGGATCATCATGGTCTATGGAATGTGGGCCTGCTGGTGTGTGCTGGGGCTTCCAGGCATGGCCATGGTCTTTCTCCACACCACCATCACCTTCTGCGTGGCCCAGTTTCGGTCAGTGCTCTTGTCCTGGCTGTGTTCTCTCCTCCTGCTCTTCACCCTGAGGGTGCAAAGTGTGGAGGAAGTTAAGAGGCGGTGGTACAAGGCAGAAAATGAATACTACCTGCTACAGTTCACACTGACTGTTCGCTGCCTGTACTACACCAGCTTTAGCCTGGAGCTGTGCTGACAGCCCCTGCCTGCCCAGCGCATCTCCTGTGGTTACTGGCTTATGTCTTCTATTATCCTGTCTTCCACAATGGGCCCATCATCAACTTCCCAGAGTTCTTCAAACAGATGCAGCAGCCAGAGCTCAGCTCTTCAAAGCACAGTCTTGGCATTCTGGCCAAGGGCTTGGGCCGCCTGCTGTGCTGGTGGTGGCTGGCTGAACTGATAGTCCACCTCATGTACATGCATGCCCTCTACAACAGCATATCCCTCCTGGAGAGTGTTTCCTGCTGGACCCTAGGAGGACTGGCCCTGGCCCACATACTCTTCTTCTATGTGAAATACTTGGTGTTCTTTGGTGCTTCATCTCTCCTCATGCTCCTGGATGGACTCATACCACCACCTCTCCCCCGCTGTGTGAGCACCAGCTTTACAGGGATGTGGAGGTATTTTGATGTTGGACTACACAATTTCTTAATCAGGTATGTGTACATTCCACTGGGTGGGTCCCAGCATGGCCTGCTGGGGACACTGCTCTCTACTGCAATGACGTTTGCATTTGTGAGCTGCTGGCATGGCATCTATGAGGACCTCTGGTGCTGGGCAGCGCTCAACTGGCTAGGAGTCACCGTGGAGCGTGGAGCCCAGAGGCTGCTGGAGAGGCCCTGTGTCCGGGAGACCTTGACCCAGTATCTCTCCCCACAAGCTCGCGGTCAGCTGCATGCTCTGCTCGCCTCCTGCTCCACCTTTATGCTGATCCTGTTCAACCTGGTGTTCCTCGGGGGAATTCAAGTTGGAAAAACCTACTGGTACAGGATCTTCCTATAAGGCTGTCTGTCCTGGGATTCCTGTACTGCTATTCAATTGTGGGTATCGCCTGGGCTCAGACATACACAATTCCCTAATGTGCTAGTCCAGGTCGACCTAGCTGTCAGGCTTCAAGGGACATTTCACCCTGAACCTCTCATTCTGAGACCTTCCCGGAAGGACCGACCACTCCAGGACAATTCCTGAAGGGACAATTTCCACTCCAGGACCATCCCTGAGGCACCACTTTCCAATCTGAAACCATCCCTGAGGGATCACCTTCCACTCGTCTTCTCCTGAAGATGCTTCATTCTGACTGACAGCTTAATCTAGCACAGAAAATATACAACCTGAAAATCTTCTAATCTTGGAGCCTAAGAGAGTATCTACTACCCCCACAGACTTCCTGGTGCATAAACTAGAGTCTGGAGCAGACTCAGATCTTTCCCAACTATACATGGTGACATTTGCTCTAGAACCTACTATAGACCCATTGAGTTCTTTACCAAAGATTCAATGTGGTAGACACTTACTGTGTGGGCATGCAAGTCCTGGTCAGGGATGAGTCTGTCTCTCCGAGACATTCTGTCATGTTTTAGTGACCCCTTTCTACTGGGAACTCTGGGCTGCCCTGCACATGGACGGTTCTTTGCAGGGAGGCAGCAAAGCCACAGTCATGTTTCAAGTGACCTGGCTAAGGTGGGTGATGTACAGGTGGGGCATTGCAAGGAGTTCTGCAGTTTGAACTTTAGTATGGCATCCATGTGGAGCTGCTGTTCTCTGAGACCTGTAGCCACGGAGTAACACGGTCATTCCTTTCACGGCTGTTTTGCATGGCATGGGAGTTTAAAAGCCCAAGAATGAGTGTGTCTACAAACAGGTGATTTGGAGCAAGTCCTCAGGGAAAAGTGGTATCCCAAGGTCCCACACGCTTTGTTTGCTGGATTTTATTGCCTTATTCTGATTCAAATAAAGCAGAGCCCTTTTGTTACATAGATAATTCACACTGTTTTTTTTTTTTCTAGACTTATTTTGGATATTTTTAAATAAAAATTTTGAGATCTAAAAAAAAAAGAAGAAAGAAACTATTGAAAAGGGAGAGAGGGGACTTGCTTACGCTTTCACAGGCAGTTTTTAATCCCACAGGTTCAGCTCATTCTTTCCTCTTAAAAAATATCCCTTGTTTTTTTTTTTTAAATGTCTAGTAATGCTCACAAAGACTAATGACCATGTGCCTTTAAAAAGAGTACATTCACTAGGTGGTGGTGGCTCTTGTCTTTAAATCTCAGCACTCGGGAGGCAGAGTAGGTGGATCTCTGAGTTTGAAGCCAGGCAGGTCTACAGAGCAAGTTCCAGGACAGTCAAGGCTACACAGAGACACCCTGTCAAACAAACAAACAAATAAAAAAACCAAAAAAAAAAAAAAAAAAACACCCAAATCCATATCAAAACAAACAAACACAAAAGAGTAGACTCTACAACACAATTTCACTTCCCATGACCCATGTTCCTACACTAAATGGTGTGAAGCTGGGCACATTCTCTCAGAGACCTACAGTATGTTTTTGTTCCATGCCTTGTGAGTAATAAGCTGTCTGCAGCTGTACTTACTGGGAAAGCTAGAGAAGGCAGAGATAGCAATATGAGTGGCATTGTATGAGGATGTCTTTTCAGATTTCTCCTTAGTCAATGCCCAGTACCACCTACAGAGCCACTAAGAACCTCTTGTTTAGTCTGGTCTCTCTTCATCTACTTGGACATCTGCATATATCTAGGCTTAGTGCTAAGTGAAGGTTTATGGCGGTAAATAAGGATCAGGATAAACAAATAGACCGAATAGATGTTTATTCAGGGAGAAATAACTTACAACCTAGACAGATGAACACCAGGAAATTCAACCCGATCCTCTCCTGTCCGAGTCACGCCAGAAAGAGAGCGCCTTTTCTGGCCCCCTCCGATCTCCTTCCACAGGTCACTTCCGCCCATGGCTCCACCCCCAATGGGCGTGGTCAGTGCCACAGAAGGACTATCTCACTACAAAGGTTTATTATAAAGGCTCCAGTAGGAAGTCTGTAAAAATCGTAGTTAATCTTACACTTTTACTTTATGAATGCAATGGAAACAAAAGTGCTTTATATGCTTTGATTCATCAGACACTGTTAAATACTGTGGTTATCTGATGGGCTGCCAGGTTCCACAGAAACACTCTGAACCACACATTTAGTGTTTTAGTTAGGGTCTATGTTGCTCTGAAGAGACACCATGACCATGGCAACTCTTGAGGTTGTCTTATGGGTTTGGAGATTTAGTTCATTATCATCATGGTGGGAGCATGGTGGTATGGTATATTTGGATTAGCAGGTATCAGGAAGAGAGAATAAGCCACTGGGCCAAGTTTCAGCTTCTGAAACTCCCAACCCCACCCTCAGTGGCTCACTTCCTCCAACAAGGCCACACCTCCAATGATGCCTACTCCCAATGAGTCTATGGGGGCCATTTTCATCCAAACTATCATTGTGAGAAACATTAATTCTGATTCTTTGAGGGAACGGTTAGCTACATTGTCTAAACAGAGGCAAGATGAGACTTGATCCTGTGTAGGCAGAAGAAGTCTGAATAGGGAAGACAGACTAATTTTCCTTACTCTTATGATAGTTAACACAGCAAATATACATTGAGGGGGAGCAGGGATGTCCCACACCAACCAATTCTGGAAGAACCTTTCAATCAACAATTACGTTCTGTACTTCAGTTATGAAACAAACTAACTATAGTAAGTTCAGGCCCCAGGGATTAAAACTTCAGAAAACTTCTGCCATTTCAGATGTCAGTTGCAAATAATGAGTTCCCAAGATACCCACATTTCTGTCTAACTTGGCTACAAAACTGAAGGCTCTTATCACCCATGCTCAAATTTGATAATTTGCTATAATGATTCAAAAATGCAGGAAAGGATTTGCTTATGTTTCCAGGTTGTTATAAAGGCTATACAACAAGGGAATCAAATGAACAGCCAGATGGAGAGGTATATGGGAGTGAGATCAGAATGGTGGAGAGCATAGGAATTTTCTCTTTAAGGAGTTGGAATGCATTACCTTCCCAAAACACAGGAATGTTCATGAAGCTGGAAGTTCTTTGAGCTCTCTGTGTTAAAGATATTTCTCAAGTCTTTATCATGTAGACATGCCAGATATGAATTCAAAAGTCAAGTCTTTCTCCCCCTTTTTTTTTGGAGGAGCTGGGTAAGCTTTCAATCATGGTCTTGTCTTTATAGTAACCAGACACCATCCTTAAACTATCTGAAAGCCTACCCAGTATTGTCTCAAAGCAACAGAAGTTTGACCCCAAGGATATTACAAGGAGCACTATGCCAGGAACCATCATCAAAGACTAAATTATCAATACAAGGGATGCTCTTAACATCCTTATCACTTAGGAAACTGAGGGTTTTTAGAAGCCTTGCATCAAGAACCAAGAGCAGACATTTTTTCATTACATCATTAGGTCTGACACTGAGGTGTCATTGGTTTTCTTGAACCTATGTAAAAGGAGAGGTGATGTCAAGTTTTAAGGTAGAATGTCAGATGAAGATGATTATAGAAAAAGGAGTCAAGTAGTATAAACTCAAATGTCCTAGCAGAAATCCCCTTGGTCAGTGGATACAGAAGATAGTTTGAAGGACAACCAGTTGTAACAGGTCTTTTGTATCCCTGAAATAAGGGAAAACATCATCCCAACTGGGGTATCCTCTACTTTTTTTGTTTTTATATCAGTGCAAGGATCTTGTAAGATCCAAGAGTAATGATAGGGTTCCAGTAACCAAACTCACCATCATTCTGATGAAAGTGTGTTGCAAGAATATATATTTTATCTTCTTAGAAAATTTGAAGAGCACAAGTGTCATAACATTACAGTAAATAGGCATCTCTGATTTGTTTAAAGTCTTCTATAGAAGATGACATAGTGACAGACCTGCTGCTATCAGAATGGCCATTTCTCTGGTCTGATTGAACAGACCATGACAATTTGGAAAGCAAAAGTATAAAACAGCCAAGAATTCCAGAAATTATAGTAGGGGAAATAAAGAAAATTTATAACCAGATACCTGTTTATTGGAGTCCATCACTGTTCTTAAGCAAAGGGCACTTAGACCACTCAAGTTTCAGGAACAACATGGAACACTTAGAGACCACAGTGTCCCTGTGCAATTGTGCCTATGAACTTGCCTATCACATTGTGTCAGCTATATGAAATGAACTGACAACCCACACTTCAGTAATCAAATAAACAAATAAACAAAAAAAGTAAGAGCTAAGTTACAGGTTTCCACATTACACTTTAAGAAAGAAAAACATTATGGCTGAGAATAGTAGCATGTGCCTGGGATCCCGGGACTCAGAAAAGTGAGGAAGGGGATCACAAGTTCAAGGTCAGCCTGAGCAACACATGCAATTCCAGACTGGTTTGTGCTATGTAATAATATGCTGCTTCAAAACATTTTATTTTTATTTTTTATGTTTGGATACAAATAAATTTTTGTTGTTTTTGTTTTTTCACATTTCCAAACATTTTTGTAAATGCTTGGGAATCCTGAAGTCCTCAGCCAGCTGTATTCATGGTACTCAATGAATCTGAACATGTCCAATAGAACACTTTCTCTCTCTCTCCCCTCCCCATATATGTATGACATTTTTTATTCATTTCACATACCAACCACAGTTCCCCCTCTCTCCTCTCCCCCTCTACCTCCCACTGTAGTGAGAGTTCCACCCAGCCACACATGTGGCACTGACCATGCTTATTTGGCCTTGGTCACAGGTGTTTAGGTAAGCCTGTGGTATTTGGTATGGGGTCCAGGACAGGCTTGCTCTCTCTTTGGTTCAGGTCGAGTCATGGAGAGATGCCTGGATGTGGATCCTTGGAGCAGAAACTTACGGGTCATTGGTTTCTCGTGTAAGTGTCTTCTTCCAAAATAAAATATATAACCCATATTTTACCCTCATCCCATGTATCTTAATCTG